GGGGGGGGGGGAACATCCCCTTAAAATTTTAGCTTTATAGCTTTTCTGGTTCCCAAGTTAGCAGCTTGTCCGTATAAAACTTTCGCGGGCCAGTACGTGGGTACCACGAGGGTAAAAAAGCCCATATTGAGGATTAGGGCCGTACATGCATGTAGATTAAGCTCTCAATGTTTCAGCACTGTAGCTTTTGTAGGATTCGAGATCAAAAATCGGTGCAGATGAACACACAAATACACACAGACAAACCCTTGTCAATGTGCGCTTTCTGGATTGCATAGATGCAAAAAATGCATAAAAAATAAAAGCAAAAGAAGCCCAGGCTGGAACGCAGCAGGCTTGCCGGTGCGATCATGCGTTTTTGGAGTAAACTCGCAGATCGCTAATAGTAGGAATGACCCCTACACTATAGCCTAACACTTGGGCTTATATTGACGGTGCTGTGGCCTCTTTCTCTCACTCTCATTTCATCGAGAGCAACCACGATTTCTACTTCCTCGCCACTCATCGACAGCAACTTCGACTACCTCGCCACTGTCATCGAAATCAACAGGATTTCGGCTTACAGGGTTACACTCATCGACAGCGATCACGATTTCCTAGCCACTCTTACCGACATCGACAGCGCCCTGCATTCCCGCTTGGCTTCGCATTCCTACACGGCCTTGGATTCCTGCTTGGCCTTGGCTTCGTGCTTATTCGGTATCGACATCGACCTGGGCAGTCCGCTCAACGAAGCTTCAATCAACTCAATTGTAATTCGTGGTAAGCGTTTGTGAGAAGCTTTATTTTATTCACTCACCACGCCTGAGCTGTTTCTGGACCAGCCAACACTCCTCACCCCTAACCACGTCCAACCCCCCACCCCCCACGCAACCATAACCCGCCGATTACGCGACCCTGCCACCTAACACTGGGTAGCGCTACCTTACGTCGAGCGAATAAGGTGAAGCTCCGTACGCAAGGCTGAAGGCTGTCAGCTTTACCTAAGCATCAGCTTCATAAGTGGGGAAGCCCACTACTGCAGACAGGCTTTTATAAGGTAGTTTCCATTCATAAGCTTTTATGCGTTTTTTGCAGCTATGCAATGCAGAAAACGCATATTGACGAGGGGTTGTCTGCGTGTATGTGTGCGTGTGTGTGTGTGTGTGTGTTCATCTATACCGATTTTTCATCTCGAGACCTACGAAAGCTATAGGGCTGAAACTTTGGGAACTTTATCTACATGCATTTACGGGCCTCTTCCTCAAAATGGGTGGTCTTACTCGCGTGGTAATCACGCACAGGCCCGTGAAAATTTTTTACGGGTAAGTCGTTAACTCGCAAACCAAAAAAGTTAGCAAGCTGAAATTTTAAGGGAATGTCCCCCGTCCTTGTAAGCATCATTCAGCTCAAACCGAACTTTCTGGTAAACCCAACTTTCTGGTAAACATGGTACCCACGCTCGGGCCCGCCAAAATTTTTTTCGGGCAAGTTGATAACTCGAGAATCTGAGAAATTAGAAGGCTGAAATCCTAAGGGGATGTTCCCCGTCCAAGTAGGTATTAATGAGCTCAAATCCAGCCCCCGGATAATCGCCCATGTACGCGCCCGTGAAATTTTTCTTGGGGTAACTAGCTAACTCGCGAACCTGAGAAGGAAGAAGACTGGAATTTTGAAGGGATGTTTCGTGACAGTTCTGGCGGCCAGTCTGAAATTCTTTTAGCTAGAAACATCTGCTGGAAAACCCAGTGCCGATAGCGACAAAAATCTCCGGGGAGCTATGCAAAAAACGCATCTTCGCAAGGGCAGGCCGTGCGTTGGCCAATTTTTCTTTTTGCTAAGTTTTTATGCGTTTTTGCCGTTCAGCACAAGAGCGCTGCAACAGGCCGCAAAAACGCACATTGCAACGACCCAGTCAGTGTGTGTGTATGTGTGTATGTGCGTGTATGTGTGTGTGTGTGTGCGTGTGTGTCTGTGTTCGCCTATCCCGGCGTTTCAACTCGCCAACCATGCAAGCTTTGAAGCCCAAATTTTGCTGGTGTGTTCCCCAGCCAAATGTCACTCCAGGGCCGCGGTATCCAACTCTCACGCACGTCTGGGGCCAGCATACGAGCACGTGATAGTTTTGGCGGGAAAATTGCTAGATCGGGAGCGAGAAAATGTAGAAAGCTGAAACCTTAGTTGAAAGTTCCCTATCCGTGTCTGACAAAAAGATTTCAAATTCAGCTGCCCAGGACAGCCCAGGGCTTACGTACGGACACATGAAAATTATGGCGGGAAAATTCATAACTCAGGAGCGAGAGAAGCTAGAAAGTTGAAACTTTGTGAGAATGTTCCCTACTCACGTACGAACTCAGCTCTTTAGAACCGTCCGGGGCCCGTGTGCAGGCACGTGAAGATTTTGGCGGGAAAATCATTAGTCCGGGAACGAGAAAAGCTAGAAGACTGAAACTTTAGCGGAATATTCCCTACTCGCGTACGACCAAAATCAACTGTCTAAAGGCGCCAGGGACCGACGTACGGACACGCGGAAATTTTGGCGGGGGAATCACTAACTCGGGAACGAGAAAAGCTAGAAGGCTGAAACTTTAGGGGACTGCTCCCCATTCAAGTACAACCAAAAGATTTCAAATTTAGCTCCTTAGAACAGCCCGTGACTCACGTACGGGGGCGTGAAAATTTTTACGGAAGAACTGCCAACTCGGGAAAGAGAAAAGCTGGAAGATTTTAATTTTAAGGAAATGTTCCCTGCTCGTGTGCGACTAAAAGGTTTCAAATTAGCTCTTCTAGTAGAGCCTTTTTCACAGACCAACAACTTTCTGTTTGTCGGGTCACCGAAGTCCACATCTACAACTGACTTGCCACGTAGCTGCACAATTAACTTCCCGAACTTCGAGGACCAGTGTGTCACGGGGCTAGCTACTGCGATTCCTTGAGATCTTCCTACGGCACGAAAAGTGCCACCCAGGCTATAACGCACCAAGCTCTCCGGCGCGATCATGCGTTTTTGCACGAAGCTCGCAGATCGTTACTAGCAGGAATGATCCCTACGCTGTAGTCTAACACTTGAGTCATATTGGCGTTGCAGGAGGAAGGGCGTCAGTTGGGATGAAGGTGGTGCATTATTGAGCCGCACGGACATCCAGGTGCATGATTACCGGTTTTTATGCGTTTTTGCCTATATGCAAATTGCAAAAACGCATATTGAGACGACCGTGTCTGTGCGTGTGTGTGTGTATGTATGCATGTGTGCGTGTATGTTCGTGTGTGTGTGTGTGTGTTCGTCTGTCCGGGTATTTCAACTCGGCAACCAAGCAAGTCTCAGCGCCGAGATTTTGCTATTGGGTACCCCGGCCAAGTACCACCCCAGAACCGCGGTACCACCCCCACGCACGTCTGGGCCCCGCGTACGGGGGGTTGAAAGTTTTGGCGGGAAAATTCATAACTCGGGAACGGGAAAAAACAGAAGGCTGAAACTTTGGAAATATGTGCCCATACCATGCGCGACCCTACCATTCATATCATCCCCTGCGGACGCCTGGGCGCCGTGTACGGGCGCCTTAAAAAAATATGCAAATTTTTTGACGGGAGGGCGATCTCGGGAACCACACGAGCTAAGGGGCTGAAACTTTGTGGAGATATTCCCTGTGCATGTACCTGCTAAAGATTTCAAATTCAGCTCCCAGTTATGCGTGGTACCCACGTAAGAGCGTATA